CCGTCGTAACACGTGCGGACCACGACATGAAAATGTCACGTAAATCAGCTCAATATCACCACGCAGAGCTTATTTCCTGTTCCCAGTAGGTGGCACTATCACTATGTCTGAATATTGTCATGTAGACGTGTTCAGGGCGGGACTCTTATCAAACGTGAAGTTTCGTTGAGATCAGATAATGTACACTGAAGTTGTGAGGATGTGTTAAGGCTAGGAGTGTTACAGAATATGTGAAGTTTAGTGGAGATGGACATAGTACTCAACTTCAGTGTACAATCTGTTCATGGTGAATGGTTGAAATTCAACGTAACGCCACGGGCACGCCGTTTGACCGAATGTCGTAAATAGCACAACTTTTAATCATGAATGTCTTTAGATTGTGCTGATTAAATTTAAAGTTGATCCGATAAATCACAGAAAATGAGCACGGAATTCAAAATGGCTGACTTTGATGTCACGCCACGGACACGCCCTTTAATGTACATGCACAAATAGCAAAATTTTTTGACTGTACTGACAAATTTTGAAGTAGATCCGATGAATTCCGTAGGAGGAGTTCGTTCAAATACAACGCGAAAAGTTCGCAGAAAGTGAAAATGAAAATCAAAATGGCCGACTTCCTGTGGGGCGCTACAAACACGACAAACACGAGCGCCACCTAGAGGAGGATTGTTGACACATTTTTAGCGTGCCTCAGGGAGTCATGGGCAAGCATCATACCAATTTTCATTTTAATCACACGTGCCGTTGCAGAGATATAAACTTCTTCATTTTAAAGAGTGCCACCTAGTGGTGATGGCCTGAAACTGTGCAAGATGCCTAAGGAAGACATGGGGAACTATCGACCCAAGCTTGGTGTCAATCAGACATACTAATGTGGAGAAATGGTCCACTTCCTTTTTTGACGAAAAATCTAAAGGAAGTGCTAATTTTATAACGTCCTTGATTTGGAAATATCAAAATTCTTTGAATTAGTTTTTTATAAGGACAGTCCCCAGATGCTACGTGAAATTTTTTGTGCGAATCGGATAAAGCGCATGGGGGAACACGGAAAAGTAGTTTATGGACATTTCGCGCTCTAGCGGAGAAAAATTATAGGCGGAAGTGGGCGTGGCCAATATGGGGAGATTCAGCTCTATTCACCGAACGCGTGGATACGACAAACTATGCAGAAGTTATTAGCCTAAACGCATTTGTTATGATTGTAGCGCCACCTAGTGGCCAATCCGAAAGCGACGCATAGAATATCCCCATTTTCACCATGCCTGACAACTCTGCCAAATAAAATTTAGTTTTTGTATATGTTCAGGGGGCAAAAATGCAGTCAAAGGGGGCTAAAAATAATAATAGATAAGAAGAAGAAGAAACATAGCAAATACAATAGGGACCTCCAGCAGCCGCTGGCTCAGTCCCTAAAAATGAAAAAATAATTTAAAAAAAGAAGACAGACAAACATCAACATTAGTTAAAAAACTGTTACATGCAAAATCATTAAGATTAAGAAGCTTATTTCTAAAATCTCCCTTTGTTATCAGGGAATCAATTTTTAAAGTACATCCAAAGTAAATGTATGTTTATTTAGACAATAGGTGGAATGTGATACAGAACATTCAGTTTTAATGGGTCAGAGGCACATATAAGCTAAGCTATAAGAATTTTGATACAACCATTAGAAAATTTTTTACCCTACTCACCCTAGCGTCTCCCTTTAAAATCAGCAAGTGTGCAGTTACAGTATGCATATGCCAGCTAACTTACTAACTCAAAATGTTGATGCCTATTTCCTAAAGAGAACATTATTGGAATCATTATGATGTATTCAGTAAGTCCTGGGTTGAAGCTCTGCAGGCCAAAGCTCACCCAGCAACATGAATGGACGACACAGCAGAAGGCTAGCGAAGCTGATCACCACAGATCACTCTCTATTGTAGGAAGGATCAATCACAATGAATCAATAGAATCTATAGACTGCTATTGTATGCAGTGTCCAGAGTATGACCCAGGACCCGGCCACCCTGAGAAACTGAGGTTAAAGGTCACACAACACAGACAGAGAGAGACATGGCGACATAGATCTCTGTCTCCGTCTCTCTCCCAAGACGATCTAAACCTTGAGATCAGTTCTTTCTGGTCTACAGACTGTAAAGACCAGGAGTAAAACATTAAAGAGCAATGTTACAATAAAACTTGAAGCTCCCCTCCAGTCAGAAATCAGTGTTTCTTCTTGTCCCTACACTGTGCTGTTTGAATGATGTCGGTGCAGAGTTTGACTCTAAAAGGATGTTTTCACATTCATCTGTTGAAAGTGGAAAGTTTCTCTGTGCTCAGTGACAAGCTGATTTTACCTATCTCAAATAGTTTGGAAGTCAGTCCTGGTCCAGTATCAACTTGTACAGTGTGATGTAGAAACTTGAAGCCACCAGTGCACATCCACTGAGAATGGACTTTACAGTGAAGTAAGAGACATCTTGTGTCTTAAGTCTTAAAGGGACACTGTGTAGGAATTTCTCCCATCTAGCGGTGAAATTGTATTTTGCATTCAAACGAATAGTGCTCTCTAGTGCCTCGGGTTTTCAAATGCGTATTGCAACTACGGTAGCCGTTATGTACCAAGAAGCCTACCTGTCGAGGAGAAAGCAGGCAACTTCAGCGTCCCTTTGAAAGTCTTTCTCCTTCATTAGCTTTTTCCACCTGGGAAAAGCTACCCCGATGTTTACCCTCGTTTTTTTAATTTGCCGGTCAAGTTGCCTTTTTAATTCCCTTTTTCGCTTTTTTGGCGACGAGGATTCCTTCTCCTGTGGCTCGGCATAAGGATGATCCTCCTTTATTAACTAAAGTGCAGTGCAGACTTTCGCCTCTCATTGATCTCCTTCTCCGTTATAGCTGGTTTCAGTCACGTGACGCTGGCTCTGAACGAAAACGCGTTGTGGATTAGCTAGACAGGTAGGCTAGTGCTTTATGTCCCTCTTGGCGATTATAGTTTTTCAAAAAGGCGGAACGACATGGAAGCCTCCATGGACTTGCCCATCCAATGTATATACAGATAAGAAATTCTTCGCTCACGAGGATAAGTCAGATCATTGGCAGAGGTAATTTTACACCAATAAGGACACATTTATTTTAGCTAATAAAATACTTTAAACACTACACAATGTCCCTTTAATAAGGTAGAAGGAGGAGATTACCTATCTTTAAGGGGATCTTTACTACAATCCCCAAGATGCATTTTGGTAAGAACATCCAATCTCAGAGATACAAATTCTACTTTACTTGAATATTCCCTATTTATGCTATTTTATACTTCTACTTTTCTACAATTCAGACTTTTTATTGTATTATATCTATCTAACAGACATAGATACTTTACACACAAAACATATAATCAACCAATAAAATATGATGCAGTATTCTACATTCAAGGCCCTGCACACTCACACAGGTGTTTTGAGTTATTTGGCTGATTAGACCTGATTGGGGTAGTGTAAAGTTACATATGCAGGGAATTATGTGAGATGACAGTGTACTAAGACTGATAAAGTTGTTTTGCAGTGGTAATACTTAGTAGTTAGTTAATAGCAGTTTTACTCAGTTAGAATTGTGAATGCTGGACTTTTACATGTAACATGTTACATGAGTATTCTAACATTGTGGTATTGGTAAATGAACCTGTAAATTGGTAAATGGACCTATACACTTGTATAGCCTTTCTAGTCTTCCGACCACTAAAAGCACTTTTTACACAACATGTCACACAGCAAAGTCCATTGAACCGAAACTAAGTCATTCATGCACATTCAGACACAGATGACACAGCATCGGGAGCAATTTGGGGTTCAGTTTCTTGCTTAAGGATACTTCGACAGTAGCCTCTGAGCCACAGATGCTACTTTTACTTTAGAAAAAGATCTGAATACTTGAAGACCACCTGTACTGTTAATAAATGGTTAATGGTATACAAAAGTAACTCAATGAGAGAGACCATTGTCCTTCTAAATCAAAGCAGCACACTCACAAACTGCCCTTCATAAAAAAATGGTTTTCAAATTTAAAGCCCCTACAAGGAACTTTCATTTTGAGTTGATTCTGGCAGCCCCTGTAGACAAAAATGGTAATGTTTCAACCGCCTTGTTTCCAAATTAAAGAGCAGTCTAATGATACCAGGAAGGAGGGTATTGCACAATTTAGGGGCAGAAGGCAGTCTATAATAATGTTCTAGCTGGAAAATACAACGAGAGTCATTTTTAATGACTGGTTGAAACCGGCTTGAAACTCTGCAGACTATGGCCTGCTACGTAGCTGTAGCCATTCACTCCCCCATTGACACCGGAGAGTTAGCCTCTCTGAGCCACTAGCTTAGCTAATGTCACAACACAGGTACCACTTAGAGTCTGACAGCAGCTGCTCATGGCTGGTGACCCCGATCGCCTGCTGCGTCACACACTCTGAAGCTGTGGTGTCTTTTTTAATGCTATGTCTGATGTTTTTATGTATTTCTGAAGCCTGAAAGTTATATACCTAGTGCCTTATTCATCAAAGCATCAATCAAAGATTATATTAAAAAAAATCCAGGTTGCTTTCTGCCCCTCAACTGTGCAATACCCTTCCTCTTGATCTCATTACACTGCTGTTTAATTTGTAGCTGTAGGGGGTAAAACTAAATAGTCCGAACCTGCAATAAGTTTTTCAAAATAAGTTCTCATTAGTATGTGTAACGGGAGTACAATTATATGCACCTGTTTGTGGTGATGTCAGAAATGTAATATTTAAATCTCGCACAGACCACCGAAAATATTTACATAGCAATATCACAAGTGGAAAAGTTTGTGTTTCTGTTGACTAATGCAGATGAACCAACCCCTTAAATAGACTGTATTGAAGTCATCTTCAGCGATTGATGAAAGAGGAAGCTGTATTTTATTTTGAAAGTTTGTGGCCGGACGTATTGTCAGTTTACGGTGACTTGACCCGGTCCGGTAATAAAAGAGCGCAGCAGCGGGCTGTTGATGGTAACTTCCCTCACACTGCCGGTGGAAGCACCGCTGCTGCTCTGGTTTGTCCTGTAAGTCTTGTGCAACAAAAGAAAGTAACTTATAACCCGGTGGAAAAGGAATAAACTAACCCATTGACAAAACGGAGACAAAAAAGGACATTTTTCATTCACTACATTTTCCATAACTACTCCAACCGGTAACTACATGTGCCACAAGTAAAAAGGAAGTGTGCTTTTGTCTACAAAATGTGGAGAGGCTGATAGTTGTTAGCTAAAGTCGAAATTTGTTTTAGGGTTTGTGGCACGAAGAAAACAGCTGAAACAGACAGACAGACAGATTGTTAAAGGCATAGTGAGGTAAATGGAACCTCAGTTGTTGTGCTGCGAGGGGGACAGGCCTGCTATCCGCAGGGCCTACCGGGACTCCAACCTGTTGACTGACCGGGTCCTGCACGCTCTGTTGCGGGCAGAAGACAAGTACCTCCCCGCTCCGAACTACTTCAAATGCGTCCAGAGAGAAGTAGCCCCGTATATGAGGAGGATAGTGGCTACCTGGATGCTGGAGGTGAGTTAAAGCCAATGCATTTCATTACGTGTTGTACGAACAGAAATACGTTTACAGAACTGCTGTTTTAAAGCTCCCCTGCTTGTAGGGAAAGTTATATGTACGTATTACAATAAAGTGTTGTGTATTTGTGAGTAATTGAAAGTCGCTGGTGAATTCGGCACACACGCTATAATGTGCATATATATATTCAGATGGGGAAGGGGCAGATATATGTAGTTTTTGTTCCGTAATGGATGCCGAGTTGAAGTTTTACTGCTAAAGACTCAGCAGTGCTTAGACAAGTTACATGTAATGCAGTCTTAACGATAAACAGAGAGCATTTTGGATTTTTAGTGGTATTTTTCAATGGAGTTTGGAATGAAGTTGTCAGTGGAGTAACGTGCTGGAGTTGCTATCTAACACGTTCACCATGGGCATACATACTTGTAATGTATATATCTAACTACATGTAGCCTGAGAAAGCAAAAATTACGTTGCTAAGTGTAAATGTCGTTTTTATGCCCTTTAAAAAGTACTTAAACAAACGCGACGCCGGTTTTAAAGTTAACCTTAAAATAAACGATTTCCACGCGCTCATATGCACGTTAATGGCCCACAGTGTAGAAAGGACATTCAAATCCTCAGACAATGCATAACACAATATAAAACTAAACAGCTTGAGGATATTTTTGGAAAATGGTGCGAGCTGCAGTCTGTGCAGACCACGCGCTGCCTTTGTGTTGGGGGGATCGTGAGGAGACCTAGAGCCAACAGGTCTTCAGCTTCATATCATACAGCCTCTGTGACACCTACTGTAACAAAAACACTATAGTATCACTTTAAAGAATGACTATAGAAAGACAAGAAAAAGCAGTATTACTATAGTATTTCTTTGTTTTTTACTAGTTAGTTATGTTATAGTGAAATGATATGTACACGATAGTGTTTTTATATAAAAATCACTATAGTCATTCCTGTAGTATTTCCAGGGAATTACTATAGTTCTACTATATTTTTGATACAGTATTACTATAGTATGTTCTATAGTCTTTCTGTGGTTTTTCATTCACACTATAGTAAGTGACCATAGTAATACTATTAAAATCAATATAGTAATACTATTAAAAACACTATAGTAATACTTTACATTTACTAAAGCATCATCATAGTATTACTATAAGAATGTTCTATAGTACGTTCAAAACCAACAACAGAAACAATATACAATAGTAATATTATTTCAAATAGAACAGGAATTATTACTAATTTATTTAAAATGACTAGTAAAAGCTGCTTAATCAAGTTTTTAACTAAGTTGAGATAGTGTTGCTTAAAAATTTCAGTTTACATTTTTTATTTGTCAAATTAACTCTTATAACCAATTATATAGAATTATCTTGAGTTTGTCGCCTTACCTGTTCTTTTGCTTAAAGGTTTTCATGTAATGATATGAAACCAAGAAAAGCAACAAATTCACATTTCACAGTGTTTAATTTTAGTTGCTAATTGACTTGAATTAATCAAAATTGTCTTTGTTTTAAGGGTTTTTGTGTCAATTCATGGAATTCTTCCAGTTGGTCTTAATGTTAATTTCTTAATTTTCTTCTTGTTAGGGGCTGCACAATTAATCCCAATATTATGAAAATGGCCATGTGTAATATCCAAATCGCAGAAGTTGTGAGATAAAATATGTGATAAAACAGCATTATAATGAAGTACTCTAGTGCTGCCCCGGTCCAAATTTGAGAAACAAATTTGTTTGGTACTCCAAAAATTAATTTCATGATTTTAATAGTTTTTTAGTGAATTCCACACTAATCATGAATCATTTCGCAATATCGAAAAGTCTCATCCCCAACCTGTATCCCATTCACACATTGCCATGAAAAAGTGGTAATACATAAAAACTGTATGTAAAATTCTGCAGAATCTTACACATAGAACCTTTAAACCAATGTAACCAATCATATTAACAGTACATTTTATGACACTATCAAGTAAACTTTTAATGACAGTATTGTTGTCTGATTTGCCTGTGTAGGTGTGTGAGGAGCAGAAGTGCGAGGAAGAGGTTTTCCCTCTGGCTATGAATTACATGGACCGTTTCCTGTCAGTGGAACCCACCAAGAAGAACCACCTGCAGTTACTGGGAGCTGCTTGTATGTTCCTGGCATCCAAACTGAAGGAAACAATCCCACTCACTGCTGAGAAACTCTGCATCTACACAGACAACTCTGTCACACCGTCTCAGCTGCTGGTAGGTCATTCACTGCTGACCGTCACATGAAAATGCTTTGTCTTAGTGTCCATCAGGCAGGTCTGAAAGGATTTGATGCTCCCTTGAGGATGATTCCTAATAGTTTTTTAGGCAGACAACAATGTTAGATTTTCCTGTTGACCAACAATTAGACCATGACTTGGTGGAAATGGCTGTGGACATTTATGAACCCCAAGAAGAGGATTCGTAATGGTTTTGATGACCCCACTGACCTTTTCTCCAGTGCCACCTTAAATCCAAAAATCCCATAAGTAGACACAAAAAATATCCATCCCCATCTTTGGTAACCTTGCATTTGTCTGTCTGGATCACACTTAAACCTGTCCTTCTGTTCCCATGTCTCTGTCCTCATAAACTCACAGCAAATGGAGCTGCTGGTTCTGAACAAGCTGAAGTGGGACCTGGCTTCAGTGACTCCGCTTGACTTCATTGACCACTTCCTGTCGCAGCTGCCTGTCAGGAGAGAGAACAGACCCATACTCAGGAAGCACGCTCAGACCTTTGTGGCGCTGTGTGCCACAGGTATGCATGGGTCTATACTATATACATGACTATCATAAAAGGGTCAAATTTGTCTTGTTACTCTATTTAGATGGTGCGACTTAAGGTCTTATTTGGACTTATTTGTTGTGCAGAATACTGCACACTATAGCAGGGTTACACATTGACCATGCAGCAGCATTGTTAATTAAATCAAATATGAGTTAAGGTGGAATAATTGAATAATTTGACATTTGCTTTAGGTTGACCTAATAAATAGGGGTGTAACAAAAACGAATTGAATCGGAAAATCGATTTTGATTTAAAAGATGCGAGTGCATCAGTACACGGACTAATAAATCGGTCTTAATGTAGCTTGAACCGGCCGATGGCCCGATTAAAAAGTTATAAATCGGTTTATGCAGCTGATGCAGCAGCAGCTGCTGAAAACTGCATCTCTCTCTGACCGCGAGACTTGTCGCAGTTACGTCAGATAGCACTGTGAGTTTGTGAGGGAAAGTTTAAAAAATGGCTGACTTGGGCAGGATTCACAATGCTCCGGCAAGTTTAAAGTCTAAAGTGTGGAAGAAATTCAGATTTTATTTGAAGAATAGAGTACTGGATAAAAGCGTCGCTATAATCAAAGACTGTAAAACTGCGATAAAGTACTCCGGTAGTACGACAAATTAAAAGCATTAAGCATACCTGAACTTCTTCACTGCGTGTATGGGATGAACATATAATGGTCAAGTGTGTGTGTGTGTACGTGTGAGTGCACCAAGCATACAGTGTTGGACACTGTCTCAGAAGAGTGAGAAAACTAATAGAAAATGAACGAGATGTAATTGTTTTTGATAGTTATTTAGTTTACATGTGGCAAGATGACATTTAAAAAAAAAAGAAAAAAGAAATACACTAGTAGTTACTAGTGGGGATTTTATTAAGCAGATGCATGTTAAAACAGCACTTTAAATGACTGACAATCTGCTTACTACTTACAATTAGCCACTTTGTGTTCTCTTTTCAGAAAAAAAAATGTACAAGGGATGTCTTGAAATTTTATGTTCTACCTCACTAGCTCATTGTGCCTCGATCTGAGGCTACACATATCTCTCTGTTGTTTCTTTGAATTTAATTAACGTTGGAGAGCTCTTACGTGTTGTTACATGTTAATAAACATGACAAAAACTACAAATACACTTCTTCTTTAGTCTTTGATAAATCTTTTTGAAGGAAATGCCACATTTACAAGTTAATTCATTTTATGAAATGATTGTCTACTTTCAACAAGAAATCCATTGCATCATACCCTCTCGAATACCCTACTTCATGGCTCAGAGTAGGCAGTTTGCTCTAATTCATTTTACTGAGTAATTTTGTAATTGCCATTTTATCTCAATTTACTTGAAACAGTGTTGGCTATTGAAAGTGGAACACATGAATAATGTCCATTAATTTAACATATTCACAACGTATTTACAACACTTAAAGCACCAGTGATTGTAACTCGTTGCTCCACCCTGCCCTTCCAAGCATGAAGGAGTGGCTGCAAAAGTGTTTTGGTTTGTCCCTTGTCCGCACCAGTTGGGGTGAGTGAGAGAGGGAGACAGAGACAGATAGCAACAACTACACTAATAGTAGTGACTGATGATGATGATGATGATGATGGATGAATGAATGAATGTTATGTGTTTCATACTGTCTGACTTAAGGTCCCACTTGGTTGCTTCTTAACCACTCTGCTCGGCTTTGTATACTTTCAAACTTACAGGAACCTTGGGAGTGGGGCTCAAAGCACTGAACATTTCAAATTGGTCCAAAACTCTCAGCATTTTATTTCAGCCACCATTTTTAAAAATCTGCAGCCGCAAATCAGTTTGTTTCTTGTTTGTTTTGTTGTACAGATGAAAGCGTCAGACAGATGGACCGACAACCACATTGCCTTATAGTTGCAAACAAAATGATGTGTAAAAACAGCTGTCACTTTTTCATACGTCAGAGGAATAATTTGGCTCATCGATGCCCAGGCAGTGGAACAACTGCAGGCTTTTCATACTTATTATATTATACTTATATTTCCTGGTACTGAAAGTTCGGGGTACTTTTGGCAGGGTTACCATGAGTCCTGGTAAACCTGCATTTATAGAGATGTGTTGACACCTGGAAACTGATTAAAATGACCACATATCCTTGAAATAATCAGTTTTCTTGGCAAATGTTAATTGTATGTTAGCCCCTCAGTCAGATTGCCTACATTAACCTGTACTAGAGGAGAGGAAACCTGTAGTAAACTGTAGTCAAATCACTTGAGACGCTGCAGGAAAAATTGGATGTATTTAAAACAGCTGACCACCTACCTGTGATGGACTGCATCATTAAAAAAGGAGGAATAAAATGTAAACTTAAATGTGTGCTGTCCTGTATTGTGAAGAAAAACTCCTGGAAAATAATTTCTTAAAAAGAAAGCTTTGTTTTGGTGGAGAAACGTCTTGTAAGTTTGAATTCTGAATGTTTTTATATGGTCCTCTTTATTGTTATCGGCTTTTTTAAAGGTGCCATATTAACATTAAGTTCCATTCTGATTCTCTCTTCAGATGTTAAGTTCATAGCCAGCCCCCCGTCCATGGTAGCAGCAGGCAGCATGGTGGCAGCAGTGGAGGGCTTGCAGATGAGAATGTTGGGCAACGCCATGATGTCTCAGAAACTGACAGAGCAGCTGGCACAGACCATCAGGAGCGACCCGGTGGGTACATCAGTCTGGGACATGATGGGTACATTCACACTCAACTAAAACGATCTCTGATTCTCAATCTAACCCGATCCATCCCTCTTCAGGATTGTCTCAGGGCGTGTCAGGAACAAATCGAGTCGCTGCTGGAAACCAGTCTCAGGCAGGCACAGCAACAACATAATGCAGTTACCATGGAAACTAAGAACATCAGTGAGGGGCAGGACCTCTCAACTACGCCCACAGATGTCCGAGACATAAACATCTGATTGCCAGTCATGGAGTGGGGTGAACTAGTGAAGTGGATGGTCATTTTGGACATGCTCAAATAACAAAAAGACTCGTGGCTTTTGTTTGACATGATGTAGTGTGTGTTTTCAATCGCTCCGAAGTGACTGGACTCAACAGTGTGTCAGAACTGTTAACATGAAGTCCATTATGAACTGTGGCGGAGAGGCTGACTGGACATCATCACGTCCAGGACACTGACAATGTTAAGACTGGAATTCAGCTCTCACTGCAGAAATGACTCTAAGAGTAACATGTGTTCACCTGTGGGTGACAGCTGGTGCCAGCAGGCTGCACCCACCAAGGCGTTGAAGGCCTATAGGCCGCTCTTACCCTACATCTCCTCCCAAATTGAAACCATCTAGCCTCAGAAACTGATTGTGATGTTAGACATCCATGGGCCTGTTTTTAATCAAACACATAAGAGTTACACTAAGAACGCTTTCAGCTCTGGAGTAGAAAAGTTCATTAAAAGTCTTATCAGCTGATCACTGCCTCTGCACTGCAGAAGTCGAAGACCCCAACAGGTTACTCTTAAGAGACTTTTTTTTTAAGGAGTAAAAGTGAGGTATTTCTAAAATTTGTATCTTTTATCATTTTTAGCAGTTTGATAAATATGGGCCCAGACAGTTGCCCTCTTACGGACAATAAAATGTGTTCTGTGATATAGTTAACAGTATGAGCTATGATGTTTTGCTGAAGACATGATGCACAACTGGCAAAAGAAAAAAAGAACAACAGTTGAGCTTTCCAAAATGGACCAAGAAAAGCTATTTGACTAATAAAATATACCTTAGATCACCTTTCGTCATAAGGTGCAAGTACCTAGAACAAAGTGAAACCACTGTTCTAATGTAATGTAATGCAGTGTAATGCACACTTTATACCACTAGAGGGAATGCAGATCTATGCTGATGGTGTTGTTGTTTTTGGTTGCTTGTCCCATGTCAGTCCATTGACGAGTAATGTCATTAGAAGCTATTGCAACTCTGAATGAATGCATAATGAACTGTTTAACAATCAGACTGGACAAAAATAACTTTTTAACTGCACATACAGTCTTTCTGTTCTCCAGGAAAAGCGATGAAGCAGTACTAGTTTTGTAAAGTGTACTACTGTATTTTGCCTCTCATATTTATTATTTCTCATCACTTGACTTGTACAGTGCTAAAAGTTCTTCTCAAGAGTGGAAATACTGTCAAAGACTGCTTTTCTGGATTCAGCTGCTCTATACATAAACACATAACAATGGTCCTGAATGGTCTTGAATAGAGAAGCCACAACTAAATACCTACACAGTGGAATGAGTAACATTTTATTTTTATTTTTTTAGGGTACTGCCCTCATGACATAAGCTCGTATGAGGTTAAGCTCTGTGTTGATGCACTGTTTGTCTGTCTTAGCACAGAGCATAAAGATGAATTAAAGGAAAACTGTCTTATGAGAGCCTGTTGGTGTTATACTTGTAAGAGGATACTATTGTGCAACTCTACAAAATTAAACAGAATTAAAAAAATAAAAATAATAATATTCTGGCAGCTTTTCTACAATTAAATATAGTATTAATACAGTTTACAGTTTTACAGTTTACAAAAAATCTATAATTTCTTGGCTTTTGGATATTTGCACATATAAAAATAATGAAATTACCGTGCTATAATACAAATAACCAAGCTTAAATTCAAACAAGTTATTGATGATTGATTATTGTTGATTTTTCTTATCTTAATCTGTAAAAAGAAAATTTCTTTTCTTTTTACAGTTATAGAACTATAATAAACATCATTATCTTGAAAATTACAGTAACTATTGCTATATTCAGTGATACAAAAAAGGGCTCCCTGAAGGAGAAAAGTTTGGGAACCAGTGGTATAGGGAGCAGTGGAGGAGAGAGTGTTTGTTGCAATAAACATTTTTATAAGTGACAATGTAAAAAAAGTCTATTCATGTGTCCTTTGTTATGGCTCCCTCTAGTGGGGGCTATGTGAACCACTGCATTAGGATACCAGCCCGGGGCCATTTCCAAAACCCATGTACCTCCCTCCCTCTCTTATAGTTTTTTCATATCAATTTAAAATACCCCTTCATACAAAATAAAATCACAATTAAATTTTTTAATTTTTTTTTGTTTGGCAAAAAATAAGGCAAAGGTCAAAGGTGCCTGCAAATGCGTGCAAAGACTATAAGAACAGAACAGGTTTCAGCCCTTGTTTGGCTGCAAACAATAAAGATGCTACAAAATGAATAAAACCTGCTGTTTGCCTTTTGGTTCGCAGTATGATGTTACTAACTGATTGACTGATTAGATTCGTGTCGCTAATCTAGCTCCACATGTATTTCTGTATATAAGATATGGTTCTTCTCCGTGTGTTTGAAGTAATTGAATTGGCTTCAGCTTCTGTTACAGCTTAAAGTTCTTGACTGTTTTTTTTACTCCCCTCAATGGTGGAATATGGTTTTTTAATCTCCTTTAGATGTGTAACTAGGGTGTGGCCTATATTAGACATCAGTGCCTGTGTCTCACTACGATTGTTGATCAAGAAGTCATGAATGTCATCAGCTAAATTAGAGGGCCATATTTCTATTGTACTCTGGAGCTCATCAAGACAGGCTAAAATGATCATCACTGAAATAACAAACATTGGTTCTACATAGGCTTTCACATTTTTCACGAGTTTCATGGCCACTGTACTTTCTCCTATGCATATACATATATATACATATATTGTCCAGGCCTGGTAGATTCTTGTCAATGCTACTGTCTCATGTACTACTGTCATGACACTGTCAGTTATTTTTTATAAAGGTTACCTACTGCAGCTTTAAAGGAACAGTGTGTAAGATGTATTGGTGCCTAGCAGTCTAGTTGCAGATCGCAAGTCCCTCGTTTCACCCTCCCCTTCCATGTGTGAAGTAGAATTAATGGTGGCAGCAAAATGTGCAAAAAATGCAGCACCCCTATCTAGAACCAGTGTTTTATTTGGTGTTAATCCCTTCTGGGAAACTGTAGAAACATAGTGGAGTCCATGGGCATCTGTAGATAAAAATGCTCATTCAAAGGTAACAAAAACATGATTCCTTTAGGTGATTATACACTAATAAAAACATACCATAGGAATATTAGCTTCCATTTCTGATCTTCCGAATGGTGGACTTATAATTTGTGTCTTTGCTCAGACTCTGATAGCAGGGCTCTGTTTCAGTTGCTGATTAAATGTTTTAACCTTGAACACAGGGACTTTGCTCCTTATTTTCAGGAACCTGTAAAATCAATGATTTTCCAAGGTTTGTTTTTCACTTTAAAGATTAAGAAGTTAATGTGTCAGCTATCTGGAATTTTGTTTTCCTAAAAAAATTAGATTTTAGACTTTTAGTCTGAAGTAGTGTAACATACTGTAGGTAGTCTACAGTATGCCAGGCTGCTGGGTCACAGTACAAACTTGCACATTGTGTTGCCAGAATATGTGAATATTTGATCTCTAGTGGAGATCCCTGTTTCCAAAGATATTAAATATGCCAGACAGATTTTCAGGAAATATATTTTTTAGTGGCTGTATTCACGGCACACCACCCACTGTAATTACGACGGGGTTTGCGCAGGACTAAGTTAAAGGATCAAGGAAATGTATCTATCATTACACAACACAAGGTTGTACAATGAAAGGAAAGTTTGCAGTCCTGTCATGCTACACAAAAAGAACAAGATAATTACATTTATAGAATAAGATAGAAAATAAAAAAGAAACAAACCAACATATACAGTTGTTTATATACATATATACATACACATATTCACCCAGGAAATATTTCTGCAGTACATCTTTTGAATTTGTAGCAACAAGATAGAGATGATAATAAGGTTTCATCTTCACATAAAAAGAAACAGTGTCTATCCACGTAGTCTTTGTTTGAGCACCAAGCATCATCGATGTAAACACAGAGCTTCCTCCTGTCCTGCCTTCTGTTGGCTCTGAAAACAATCCGCCTGTTGAGTGTTGGTCTCTGTAACAACTCAGTTTCTGATTTCCCGTTGTTTGGCCAGCCTAATCCCCATTCTGTCCAGACCAGACTTTAGCCAGGAGCAGCCTTCAGTCCAAGCATGGTCCTCTTCCTCTCCTCTTGGGGTGACCAACTGGGCTTGTCTGGCTCATTTGCCTGGGTGGATTGTGTCAAGGTCCGCTGCTCTTTAATCCAAACCCCACCCTTCCTTTTCCAATGACTGCAGGCTACTTTTGTCATTGATAATATGTGTTTCAGCAAGAAAGCCAAAAACTGATTAAAACAAAAACAGAAATGTTTAAAGGAGCTAGCCTATCATCCACAGCATCTGAATGTGCAGCCATTGCACACAAAATCTCCTGATCCAGTCGATTTGAGCAATTTTGGCTAAGCCCTTAAAAATCAGAAATCAAACCCCATCAGACAACATTCAATTATATTTTCAGCAATTAAGCCCCCAAAAAATAGAGATTGAAACAAAAATGCAGCAAGTTTGTATTAGTACAAATTTTTTCCACCCAACTTCCAAATGGGATATTCAGTTTAATTTATTTGAGGCTCTGGTATTAAAGCCTTCTCCATCAACTATAAATAACCAAAACCAAAACAGTACATTGCAGCTAAGCATAAATGTATATTACAGCCTATTATAATAGTCCATTTAGATGCAACAACTGTGCTGATGAACTTTAAAGTTAAACTGCAACAACCCAGAATTTGGATTGACAAGATGATAGCTTCTTCTTCTTCAGCTGGCCGATAGTGAGTCTCTAGCACATTCTGTCTGTCTGTAAGTTGAAACAGTGTAGACAGGAAGAGGCAGAATTCTTTCACTTCTGGCAGTGTGGTAACCTCATATTTCTGCAGCTCGGTTAACCACACACTTTCCACATATTCTGAGTCTCGACATCATCACAGATTAACTCATTCTCTGTCCATATCAGACTGTCCATGGAATTTTGCGCACTCTGAATCACTGTGTTGCTTAATTAAATATGCACTGTCAAATGACGAAGACATATCAGCTGCTGGCTCGTGAACAAAGGATAGTTATGAGGCGAGCTTCCGATTTTAGTAAATATTTATTAACAGACAGAGACCTCAGCACTGGAAGTGAAAAATGTCACTTCAAGTGAAACAGGGACTATATTATGAGTATATATAAGCAAGATAAAGGTTGTCCACACATATACTATATGCGCAGTAGGCGATATGGTACATGTGTTGACACACACAGAGGGGAGAGGCTTACTCCTGCCTCCTTGTACAGTACACACCTATATTAAGGGCATGACGCACACAGGACTAGCATTACAGCAACACTGCTTTCACACATGTTCAGCCACTGTCACGAGAGAGTAGTCAGACAGCTGCTGAGCTTTGACAGCTGATCAGCTAACATGTCAGAGAGACTGAAAGGCAACATTCTAGTCACTGGGACAAACAGAGGCATTGGTTTGGAGCTGGTGAAACAACTGGCAGAGAAGACAGGAGAGGAGTCTCACATCTACGCCTGCTGCAGAGAGCCAGAGGGAGTCAGGGCTGAGGTGAGGCCGTCACACGTGAATACTTGAAGGAATCTATTGTAACACACACACACACACACACACACACACACACACACACACACACACACACACACACACACACACACACACACACACACACACACACACTCCTATACACTTAAATAAATGCATGGTTGCAAGATAAAACTTTTAGTAGAAATAATTATTGGAGCAAGTTCATTTTTAGGCCTAAACAACTTAAAAACTTGCTACCAATTATTAAGTAAGTGGTCATACATGGGGTTGTAGACGGAAAGCTAATTCCCCTAATTCAGTGTAGCACATTTGTTGAACATAGTTTCCTTACAAGTTGCCAAAACTTTTTGTTGATTGTTAATTAATAAGATTGACTTAAAAATAAGAAGTGCTGAGATATTTTTTAATGTGCTGTTGTTTGAATGTATCCACTTAAACCCATATTTATTGAATTAAGGTGTTTAAAATTCAAACAATTTACATGTTTACAATTTACATAATCATGTTACCTTTGTTACATATACTTCTCTTTGTTACAACAGTTTTATGATGCTTACTTAGAGTAAAATACTGTGTTTCCTAAGTCTAATATAGCACTCACAAGCCCTGTTACTCATCCAATCAAGAACAAATATAGTTCTATTTCTGACAGCTTGAGTGAGACAATTTTAACCTACAGAGTTGTGTATTGAACTTTGGCTTTGGCTCAGATGACTGATAGAATGGAGCTTTTGATATATAAACTTTCTGGCTTTACAGTTTTTTGACCAAGGAAAAACAAATGTCTTCAGTGAACATTTTGAGTGTTACGAGGTGCCTCAAAGACGCTGTCTAGGATCATTATTATTATTTGCCAATTGTACCAGTAATTTACCATTTCTGCTGGAAATTCACTCTATTTCATTTCAATACTACTACATGGTTTTCCCAAAAAACATTTTGATGGAAACATTATATACTGGCGGCAAATTCTCTTTGGGAGACAAGCAGGACCATGGCAGGAGGCACGACCAGGATCCATGAGAACCTGTGAGACGAGAAAGCACAAGAACTCCGGGGAAGACGTGAAGTTAATAACATGCATGTGTACAGAAAGAGAGGGCGAGGAAAAGAGAAGCTCAGTGCATTATGGGAAATCCCCCGGCAGTCTAGGCCTATAACTAAGGGAAGGTTCAGGACTCACCTGATCCAGCCCTAACTATAAGCTTTATCAAAGAGGAATGTCTTAAGCCTACTCTTGAATGTGGAGAGGGTGTCTGCCTCCCGAACCACAACTGGAAGCTGGTTCCACAGGAGAGGAGCTTGGTAACTGAAGGCTCTGGCTCCTGTTCTACTTTTAGAGACTATAAGTGTGAAAACCATCGGCAGAAATGTGGTAGCAAACAAAATACAAACTACCATGACGTGAGTGAATGAGCAGTGTATTTCTTTCCAGTCTCTGTCTGTCTCTGTCCATCCATTCTTCCGTTATCCCTTATCTTTCATTCAATCTCCATGTTTCCTTTCTTCTTTCTGTTTTCTTCAGGCCCTGAGAGACCTTGCCACTCAGTATCCTGGAAAGATCACTATAATCAAACTAGGTAAACACAACACACACTCATAAGTACATACTTACACTTACAGAATTGAAATGTTACAAAGCCAGATGTGTAACACAGGATGATCACAGGATCATGCAAGAATCCATCTGCAGTGTCCTATGCAGAACTACTGGTTGCTACAGAACGAGTTACGGGCGTATTTGAAGCTAAAGGTATGTGGCACAAAAGTTCTTATTCGAGAACAACAATGGCAGCTGCTAAAGATGTTGGCGTAGATGCTGTGAGCATCAGTCATATCAGAACTGGAGAGTGCAGTATTTTTCTCACTAAAGCTAGATAATTTTACTTTACAGTGGACAAAATAAGAAGCTGGTTATGTCACCTAATTTAGGGTTCATTTCCAGATACTTTCAACACTGGTCATACCACAGAGATGACACATTTTTTATAGGGGAAGAAAGGGCAGTACCTTCCAGAAGAGTATGGTCTAGACCTGCTCTATTTGAGTGTCTATCTAAGTGTCCTGAGATAATTTTCTTTATGAATTCGTGCTATACAAATAAAACTGAATTGAAATGAAGAGGACTGGTCGTCTCCATCACCCATCCTCACTTGTGACTCTTAGTATTTAAAGGTTCCATATGTAAGGTTCTCAAGGATTTTCTTTATTATTTTTATGTATGAAACATGTTTTATTCCCAATGAGTGAATGGGTTGTAACATAATAAAATTAATTGCTAAATGGACTGTACTACTGCCTTTCTAGTCTTCCAACCACTCAAAGTGCTTTTACACTACATGCCACATTCACCCATTCACACACATTCATACAGTGATGGCAAGCACTCATCACAAACAGAAACTAACTCATTCATACACATTCACACAAATGATACTTGTTAATGTTGGTAGATTTTTTGACAATGAAAAAATAACAGCCATTAAAGGTGTGCATTTAGTAGCATCTAGCGTCTTCACCCTCTCCTTCCAAGAGTGTGATAGTGGCTGTGAAACTCGCGAAAAAACGCGAACTGCCCTACCTAGAGCCAGTGTTTGGTTTGTCTGTTCTGGGCTACAGTAGAAACATGGCGGTTCAACATGGTGAACTCCATGGAAGGCAACCAGCAGCATCTGTAGATAAAAATGGTAACAAAGACATAATGATTCCTATATTCTACAGACACGTCAGATGAGGACAGTATCTCAGGTGCCGTCCGAGCTGTGAGCAAGCAGATCGGGGCTGCTGGGTTGAACCTCCTCATCAACAACGCTGCGATCAACAAACCGGCCTTGCCTGGGTCGTTGGCTGCCACTGGTAAAAAGGACATGATGGAAGTATACGAAACCAATGTGGCCGGACCATTTCTCCTTGTAAAGGTTGGTTTGTCTCACTCATCTCTGTGCTTATAGTGTGCACTAAATTACAGTATAATAAATATAATTTACTAATCAGCTATCGCCTCCCTCTCTTCAGATGTTTCTTCCACTCCTCCAGAGAGCAGCAGAGAGGGACACACCTGAAAAGGACAAGGGTATATATCTGTTCTTTCGTATCACGATAGAATTCCAATGGCAGATACAGGCATTGAGGCTGTGGCTCAGAGGCAGAGCGGGTCGTTCCTTAATTGGAAGGTTGTGGGTTCGATCCCCGGCTCCTGGTGCCACATGTCGAAGTATCTTTGAGCAAGATACTGAACCCCAAATTGCTCCCGATGTCGTGCATGTGAATGAGTATGAATGTTAGTTTCTGTTTGATGGACTTTGCCATCACTGAGTGAATGTGTGTGAAAGGGTGAATGTGGCACATAGTGTAAAAGCGCTTTGAGTGGTCGGAAGGCTAGAAAGGCGCTATACAAGTACAGGTCCATTTACCAAAATGTTAGAGAATCAATAATCACTTACAGTTTCATGCTCTATTGCGCTGTGCTTTTGTACTTCATGCTCTACACCTGCTGTCACATTTTCCGTGATTTCCTGGTAACCTAGTAACAAAAACACAATGAATCTGGGGTCCCCAGTTAGCTCAGTGGATAGAGCTGGCGACCCATGTACTAAGGCTGAGTTCTTGCTGCAACGGCCCAGGTTTCAAATCCGACGTGCAGCCTTTTGCTGTGTGTCATCCCCTCTCTCTCTCTACCCCCCTTCCTGTCTATCTTCAGCTGTATCTATCAAATAAAGGTCCAAAAAAACCCCAAAACACAATGAATCTTATTTTCAGGTGATTATACACTAAAGAAAACATACATACCTATGAATATTATATTTCATTTCTGACAACATATCCTTCTAAATGTCACACACTGGACCTTTAACAGACAGACAAAAGTCTTGTCAGAAGAACTAGCATCAACAGCAAACATGTTCAGGCTTTAATTCAATTCAATTCAAATTTAAAGGGACAGTTCACCCCTCAAAAAGTACTGTTGTAATGTACATGTTCTTCCTCTGACCTGTGGTGCCATTTATCCATATAGATTGTTTGACTGTGAGTTGTTGGGTTTTGGAGAGATCGATAGAGATGTCTGCCTTCTCTCTGATATAATGGAACCAGGTGACACTCAGCTTGTGGTGCTCAAAGCGCCAAAAAATAAATTTGAAAAAGCATGAATTGTTATGGTTTACACACGATGCACATACATGTACAAAAATTATTTGTATCACATGCCAATTACCAGTATTGCATTATAGTAGTTATTACTGGTATTCCTATTTCATGAGACAAGTTTCTTTGTCTCTCTGTGTCTCTCAGGTGATAAAATGTCATGCAGGAGATCAGCCATCATCAATATCTCCACACTCATCTCATCCATAGAGAAATGTCCAGAAACCTTCCATATGGCACAGATGTATCCTTATAGGACCAGCAAGGTACCGTTGACTTACAAAACCTGAATTTGATAGGCCTAGTATATTATTTAGGAAGAATTTAAAAAACTAGCACTGTTGTTCTATTTGTAATCTGCATGAAATTTCTCTGGAAGACTCAAAGCTCTATAATTTGGTTTTAGGATCATACCCATATGGAGGCCCCAAAACGCCAGAGAAACAAAGTTCAGTATCAAAGTCGTTATGGTTGAAACTCTAAATAAGACCCTATTTTTCCTATCCTCTAAACATATTTACTTGGTGTGTCCTCATTATTTTAAGGCTGGTATTATTGTTTATTTTTTGTCACCAAATCCCATGAAAAGACCAAAAGTGCTAAGTTGTCTCACCTCCAAGCCCATTGGCCCCCTAATGAAGACGTAAATCTTTAAAAAATACCTCACTATATATTAGATTTTTCTCAAAGGCTCAGTAATTTCAGCTGCTCACTGTAGTTTTTATCAAATGTTATTCAGACAGGAGGAAATAGTGCATTTGTTGGGGACTATTTTCAGCAGTGGATTGATCAGTGGGTTGCTGTGTCTCAGAGGAAGAGCGGGTCATCCTCTAATCGGAAGGTTGTTGCTCCCTATGCTGTGCCTCAGTGTGTGAATGTGTGTGAAAGAGTGAATGTGGCACGTAGTGTAAAAGCGCTTTGAGTGGTCGGAAGACTAGAAAGGCACTATACAAGTACAGGTCCATTTACCATTTACCATCTACATTTGGTGCAGCAAGACAATGATGTGGGACTGAGTCAAAATAAACTACAGTGTGTGGACGACAATAGAGCTCTATGGCATAGAGGACTGAGATATGTCAGGCTTTTATACAAACACAGTACTTGGTCGTAGGATTAATTGGTTTGGCTCTGCACACAGGATGTGTTGACAACAAAAATATAGAATATCACCAGACTTGTACATTTGCCAAGTAAAGTACCAAATACATCTTTTAGGATGGAAATATTTGCATCCATCATGTGCTGCTGAAATTGAGTTTTTGAGAAAATAAACTATGAGAAGAAAATTCTGGAAATTTGCACAAAATCAGAAAATCAGATGAAAGCTTAAAGAAATCAGCTAAGATTAAAAACCATTTTTAAAAAAAAAACAGACTCAAATGTTGGATTTTTTTAAAAAAAAATTTCAAATTAGTATGTAAATAGAAACGTACTTAGAATTAAAGGGGAACTTCGGCAGATTTTTACCCTAGTCTTGATCACTAGAGGTCACCGAGTACTGTCTATAGGAAAAAGAACGACCAGAATTGGTTCTAGCAAACTAGAGATCCAGCAGCTAATGGCCAGAGCTCCTAGTTAGTTATAATACACTTCTTGGGGGCATATCCTAAAGAGTGCCTTTTGCTCCTCTTAACAGACACAAAATGCAATTAAAATGTCTCTGCAACATGATCAGGGCCCTTACGTGACAACAACATGCCTTTTCAACTCATACGTTGTGCAGATACCGTACAAACATTACTGTCGCCTACCTGTTTTTACACCGCTCGCTTCACCGAAAGCCCAGAATAATCGATCACGGAGATAATGCCTTCACGACGGAAAAAAGTTTATTTCCCCCTTAAAAATGTCCATGTCTTCACACACTACTCTCCGATTTGCACACTTCCTGCAACAATTTCTTCTTCTGCGTTTACCTGCAACAAGTGAAAGTGACTCGCGCTGAAGTCCCGTGGGATAAACGCAGAAGAAGAAGAGATTGTTGATCGGAGGTGTTTACAGGGGAAGAAGCTTGGAGTAAGAATAACGTGTGTTGATCTACTGTGTAGAAGAAATGGTTTGCGTTTGTGCCTTTCCAAATGGTGGCAACAGAATGAGAAGGTACAAGTGCCTACACTTTCATCGTCTACCTTTCCATGACCATGAGATACTGCAGTTGTGGCCAGTTGTTCTTCAGCTGGATGTGCAAACTCCCATACAAGTTCTATGTGATCACAGAGATAATGCCTTCGCAACGAAAAAAAGTTTATTTCCCCTCAAAAATGTGTTGCTGCACATCCCTTCTCAAGCCGTGTCTGCCAAAACGCAGCTAAATGAAGTTATGAATATAACATTACCTCCACAGTGGTTGCAGCAGTCTTCATCCTCGGAATGGCATTTCTCTTCAGCCGGCCCCGCTGTGTTGTGTCTCTGTAGTCATCCTCCTCAAAATGTTCGCTGCAAATGCGGTGATCATTTTCGCATAGTACTTGTATGGGAGTTTGCACATCCAGCTGTACAACCATTTCTTCTCCACAGTAGATCAACACACGTTATTCTTACTCCAAGCTTCTTCACTTGTAAACACCTCCGATCTCCACTCATTTCTTCTTCTGCGTTTACCTGCAACAAGAAATCCCACGGGACTTCAGCGCCAGAGCAGTCCCGAGGATTTCACTTGTTGCAGGGAAACGTAGAAGAAGAGATTGTTGCAGGAAGTGCAATCGACAGTACTCGGTGACCTCTAGTGATCAAGACTAGGGTGAAAATCTGCCGAAGTTCCCCTTTAAGGAAAAAGTCTTCACAATGGAGCTTTTATTTAGGTGAAAATTTTCACAACATCCAGTTTTTAATTGCGCCATCAGTTGGATTCTTCAAAATGCTGTCGGGCCAAACATGCAACAAAGGCTTTTGGTATGGTGGACACTATGTTCTAGTTACAATGACGTGTGTCTGCACATGGCCCACCCACACAGGTGTGTTCTCTACTTAATGTACTGCACTGGCATCTTCCTGTCTTTCCTGTTAGTTCTGTTGCACCTGTTAGGGCAAGACAACCTCCCTATTTATCATTCTTATCTCCTCGCATTACCTCCAACCTGAGCAGAGGTTAAATAAAAAAGTGAAATTACTCATGTAAGTGTTCAGACTCTTGAAGATAAGATAAGATAAGATGTTCCTCTATTGATCCCCTGTGGGAGAAAATCGAGTTTGACACAGCAGCTTTGTCTGTTTACATCTGTAGATTTCTCCTACAGATATCATTAGATAATGCCTATTTTGCATATTTAAATATAACATTTCCAAAAACTTGCAATAAAAGAAATTATGTAATGTAAGTAATCAACTGGGGAGGTTTCATGGTGATATCATTTAGTTAAATTATTTTCCCTATTCACCTGTAGTGTCTTGAAATGTATGGAATTTCACAAAACATCTTTATAGTCCGTTTTCTCTAAGTTAATATTTTCTCACACAGAAATCTCCACTTCAGTAGCACTTACATTTACATACACAAAACCTTCCTGTTTTATTTGTAGGATTTATTTACCCTGTTTTCTATAACATATATATAAAATATGAAATATTGTAGATTATGCTAAAGTATATTAAATTGGGTGTCATTTTTAAATTGCTGGTTTTTTGAACAACAAAGCTTCTGTCCTTTTCGGCTGTTGGTCACCAGGCAGCCCTGAACATGCTGACACGCTGTCAAGCTGAGGAATTCAAGACACACAACATACTGGTGACCTCAATCCACCCTGGCTGGGTCCGCACTGAGATGGGAGGAGAAGAGGTGAGGTGGTTGAGAGGGTAGTGCTGTAGGCCTTTTAAATACATGACGCAAAAGGTCACACTTGTAATTTCAGAAGGTTTAAAGCACATTTGCTGAAACAAACAAACAAAGCCCATTTCACTTTTACTACTACTTTTAAGTAACATTTTCAATGCAGGGCTTTTACTTTACATATAAAATCTTAAAACTGCAGATAAAAACTTTTAATTTCAAGTATCTCGGCCTTCCAAGAACAAATATCTTCTTACGAAATGTTCCAGTTTCTATTAACATTCCTCTCTCTGGTGATTGTTGTCTCCCCCAGGCTCCTTTGACCACCCAGGACAGCGTAGTTGGCATGCTCAGTGTGATGTCATCACTCAGCAACAAAGACAGTGGGATGCTGCTGGACTGGCAGGGCAACATGATCCCCTGGTAGCAGTCACCATGACAACCTCACCAGACCCTCCAGACTAATGATTTTGCATATAAAGTATACAGTATACCAGGGAGATGCTGTAATCATTCCTCCTGTTCATACTGGCCATGAAGCAGGTCGTTCGTAGGGGTTCTCTAACTGATGGGAGACAAAATGCCTTGTTTTGTCAAAAATGTAGTTAGACAAATCACAGTTGTTTTAGTAGACATTTCTCTCTTTGTGTTCCATCAGAAAATAGGATACGTCCTGGTAGTTGCATATACAGTATGTTTGTTGCCTGGTCACAGCACCCAGCAATCAACCTACACACAACTGCCAGGAATAAGATTTGTCTAACTCAGACTGCAGAAGCCCTTCTATTTTATTTATCACACATTATCACATTTTATAGTGGCATTGCTTCATAGTGAGCATGGACAGGAGGGATGATTATAGACAAATAATCATTTTAACATACATATGAATATGTGACTATTCTGTGAAGTTAGAGGTAAAGGATGAGAGTATAGGATTCAGTGGCATCTAGTGGTGAAGTTTCAGATTGCTACTAACTGAATACTGTTCACTCTTCCAAGTGTGTAGGAGAAACTATGGTGCGAAAAATGTGAAAGGCCCTCTCTCGAGCCAGTGTTTGGTTTGTCCATTCTGCGCTACTGTAGAAACATGGCAGTTCAGAATGGTGTATTCTGTAGTGACCCGGTCCCTCTGTAGATAAAACTGCTCATACTAAGGTAACAAAAACGATTTTTGTTCTGTTGATCACTTCTTCTGTGTGAAGAGCTGATTGTTTAGTCTCATTCCTGAGGTCCCAGAACATCTTGTCTTTGATTGGTTGTTTTTTTCACAGATTATCTGTCTCATAGTGAGTCCATATAACAAACTTTGGTTACACACAGGTGTTCATGATGAGCCCTTGACATTTGGCACAAGATCAAACACCGGATGTGTTTATACTTTGGGGGATAGCCTGGGGCCCGAAACGCACTAACTTTACATTTTCAAAAGCCAGTACTGAATAATATGACATCTGCTAGTGCCTTTCAGGGTGGCAGTAGCTCAGGGTCGCTGGTTCAAATCCCACAGACCACAATATGGAGTGTGGACTGGTAGCTGGAGAGGTGCCAGTTTCCCCTCCTGTGCACTGCTGAGGTGCCCTTGAGCAAGCAACCTAACCCCAAGAAACTGCTCACAGGCGCCGCTAATGTGGCGAGCCCATCACTCCACCATCTCTCTCCGTTTGTATGTCCACAAGTGTGAAGTGTGTATTTCAGCCTGTGTGTGTGTGTGTGTAAGAATAAAAAAGATTGAAAAGAAGAATTTCCCCAATAAGGGATTAATAAATTATATATATATATATATATATTAATTATATTGTCTTCTTTCAATCATTTGGATCTCTTGTACACCGTCAGTGACCTTGCTTGAGCTTGAGGAGCTACACTTCTGAAAATATTGTGTATGTACCCTAAAAATGGTTTCACATCCAAGACATCTTTTAAGAAGCAAAAAACTATGCAAATCTGAAAATTCCGCAAAAATATTTTACAGAATTTATTTTTTGCACCTTTAATGTGAAACGTCCACTGTTAGTTACCAGCCATATTTCACTGAAAACATTCATTTCACACAAACCCACAATAAAATAAGTTGGGTCATATTTTTTAATTCCGTGAGTTTGCTTCTTCTTTTCCTTCTCTTTGCAATATAAATCAGATAACAACTTAAAAGCTTCCTAGCAGTGAGACTTAGGTTTCTCGCTATGTTGAGATAATCACTGGCACAAGGTTAGGAAATTAGGGTGATACACAGATACCTGTGCAGACTGACTTTTCACATCATGAATATTGAAAAAAAACACCATAAAAAAAAAAAAACACTGTGTCAGAGAAAAGAGGAAAAGCAGGTTTAATTTCATTTGTGGTTTTTAACCTTTTACACTCCTTTTCTCTAAAACATGCGTCTTACAAAACAACCTACGCATAGTTTTCCAAAAAAAGCAACTGAGATGGCACTGAGATCATCTTTAATAACTTTAACTGTTCAGTCAGGTGGACATCTTTTGGCAGCAGTGCTGCCTGCACTGGTGGATTGAAATCAGTGTGGTTCAACGTGTTGAGCCACAGGCCGTAACGCACCGCTCCAACACAGAGGCAACAGGGCAACATGTAGAACTGTCAGTTTGTCATTGAAGTTTAAAGATGGGTGTGTGCTCCAGTGTTTTTTTTTTGTTTTTTTTTGGGAAAGTGTGCCTTTGTCAGGGATGGAGAGGAGCAGAGAAGTACTACAACATACAGTCATACATATCATCTGGAATTTACACATCCATAACAATAATGATACAAGGATCAAGAATCAGAGCCATAATTATACGGTATAGCAATAATAATAACAACTGACACCTTTCTAAGTCCCGCCCCTTTTTGCTCTGTGCTCCAATAACAGTTGAGCAATCCTCAGTCAGAACCTCGATCAACTTCCTCCTTTCCTGTACTTAGATATGCTATATGCTAGGCTAATCTATGTTGAAAAGACAACCACACCTGATGGTTGAAAGATAAAAGATAGTTAATGTACATCAATTCATTTGTCAATTAACTAGCTAGCTTTTTGTGAACATTAGCTATCAGATGTAACTAGCTAGCTAATAATCATATATATTGACATCTTTAATTAGCTATGTTACCAAGAGTAGCTAACAAGCTAATTAACAATTGATGTAAACTCTATGACTCTTCTGTATGTCACTTTTATCTTTTAAGCATCTTCAAAATGAGGTTGTCTTTTTAACTTAGATTAGCCTAGCACATAGCCTAAGTACAGGAAATGATGAAGTTGAGGTTCTGACCGATGTTTGCTCCGCAGAGCAAAAAGGAGTGGGAATCAGGAAGGGTCAATTATTGATATTGTCTAAAAACTACACTTATGTTTTCATAGTTTCTTTCTTCTTCTTCTTCTTCTTCTTCTTCTTCTTCAAAAAAAAAGACCATATATTTATATTTATATACTGGAAGTTCTCAAGTCTTTTTTCTGGTTTTCTGACTAAATAGGTAACTTAAATATTTACAATGATTATTTTACAACCATTGGCCCAGCCCACTGAAGATGAATGTTCCTTTTAGCTTGTCTAGAATAAAAAGCGCACAGAGAAATAGAGGAATGGTCCTGGTGAAAGGCGAGGTAGGGAGGGAGCAGAGGATGGATGTGAGGTCAGCTTCCCCATTCCAAGACAGGGTCCTAGACCCCCAGGATCCAGGGCCACTGCACAGGGTTTCCCATGCTACATATCAGGAGCGCAAGGGAATGGAAAGCCTCACCCTGTCAAGGCATGCAGGGCCTCCAACCTCACACTGGAAGGGTGTACAGGGTTTCCTGCAGCATTCTGCAGGGCGTACAGGTTCGTCTGCCCCTTGTTACAGAGAGGATTTACTGCCCCGTGTTCCTGGGACTTCTCAGTTTGTGTCACTGTTTGGTTTGTTTTCTTCCTCCCCCCTCACCCCCCTACATCACCAGCAGCTGCCCCAACACCATCCTGAACTGCTGCGTGCACCCTGCCAGCTCTCTCACCCTCTCAGTCATCTCTCTGACAGCTCCAGGGGACGGATACTGAAGCGCCGCTGTCTTTGTACTGATCACGATGTCTTTGAGTTTTTCGCAGAGGGTGTTGCTGCTCTGGGCCACCCGGGCCCTCACGTCAGGGGACTTGGCCTGGCGAGACAGCGTGTCGCCAATGAATACCAACTTATGCGCGCTGAGGATGACAAACTTGCTGTGCGCCACAAAGATCTTGGGGGGCTGGTTGGAGTTGACAGAGGTGAAGAAGGCGTCGATGGCGTTGGTCACAGTTGTGACGTTCTGCTCACATTGCTCCTGGTAGAAGAGGAGGAGCTGCCGGTCCCCATGGCACAGTTTGGAGGAGGAGGGGCCTCCAGAGCCATTCTGGGCCAGCTGGTTGGCCAGAGGGTGGTGTGGGGACGGGACCCAGCCCGTCATGTCATTGTTGATTGGCCGGCTGACTTCCTGCTCTAGCCGCTCAAACTGTTTAATCTGGAAGAAAAGGAAGAGCAATGACACTTTTAAATCATTGTAGAGCTGTTGTAGAGTCATTGTAGACAAAAAAATTATCTGCAACAATTTACGATCGATTAATGGTTTTAAGTCATTATCATTCAAATCTGTTAACATTCTCTGCTTCCAGCTTATGAAATGTCTGGATTGGCTGCTTTTCTCTGGTTAGAGAAGGGTATCTCTGCAGACTGGAGACTTTGAAAGAGCGGGGTAACTGTCAATCATTTTTTAATTTGGTCAATTATAGTCCACTGTCAGCCAAAAACTAATTTCACCAGTACCCCGCCTGAATCAGCTGGAGGGTGAATACAGGATTTGGGTTAGGTTTAAGGGGGGTTGAGAGCTGGTCCTGGCATGGAGAATGTGCTGGAGGAATATCTTTAATTCAGAAAAACAGAACAACCTACGGTTCTAGGTACCTGTTGGTGTTCCAGTTGTGTCTTGTGTCTGATGATGTTGCCTTTCTCCAGCAGCTGTCTTTGGTTCTTCTCAAACTCTTCCTTTCCCTGACAGATCAACACACACACAGTTGTTACACCATGTGCACTCACTTAAATTATTTGTTTAACAGCAAACATCTGTGTGTGGATCAGTAGGAAAATCACAAGTAATAGACGGCTTTTCTCTCCCCCTAGCGGTGACCAACAGGAACTACAACAACACACATTTCTTGCTCAGACTTTTTGTTAAAAAGGGTGCTGACTCTTCACAGGCCCACGTATACTGTAGGTGTGTGTATATGTATCTTACCCAAACATTTTCCAAATTGAGTGTTTCCCTCTGCCATGTTCCCACATACACACAGGCCTCACACAGTGAGCTGAATTCATTCATTTAGGGTGCAGTTCTTATAGTTTATTGAAACAATTTGTAATGACACTATGCTTTTCCCCAATACTGTTTCCCTCTGTCTGAGCTGTTATCGCATTAACCCCAAGAAACTGCTCATTGGCGCCGCTAACGTGGCGAGCCCATCACTCCACCATCTCTCTCCCTGTTTGCATGTCCACAAGTGCATTTCAGCCTGTGTGTGTAAGAATTAAAAAAATATTTCCCCAATAGGGGATTAATAAAGTATATATCTTCTTCATATCCAGTCTACTCCGTGTGCAGCTGAGTAGAGTGACTGAAACTGCTGTTTGTATTGTCTATGTCTGTGAATTAAGGATTTATTTCCTCCAAATCAGAGATTGTGATTGTTGGAACAGTGGAAAGACTCACAAAGGTGGTTATGGTGAGTTTTATTTTGTTTCTGTCCACTTTGAATGAAGTTATGATGTTACGATGATATGTGAGGTAAAATTACAGTTTTTCTCTATGGAGTCTGGTGGAGAGTGATGGTGATATTACTGCTGTTTCTGGTTAAACTAAAGGTCTAGCTCTGTAGGGATCCTTTCCATAATGCTGTCAGACTCTTAGAATAACAATCTGAGCCTGTCAGTGGCAGAAACAATTCATTTAGTTCACACTGCTCCTCAACACACCACCTCCAGCATTAGGTGTGGTTCCATAATGGTAAAACACAGCCACAGGGTTTCTTATTAACTTGTGAGTCAATGAAATGGCCTAATACCTATATAAAAAATGTGTGTGTGTGTGTGTGTGTGTGTGTGTGTGTGTGTGTGTGTGATGTACCTGTAAATGTACGTAGTCGTAATCCTCCATCCAGCCTTCCTCTGTGGTCTCATACGGCCTGTCCTCACCTTCCTCTTCCTCTGCAGCTGTAAACTTTGGCGGGGAGGGGAGGGGCCGCGACTGAATGTTTACCTTCTCCCCTCCTTGATAGCTTCCACTTCCTGATCCTGTCATGTGACCACTGATCTCCCCTGGGATCGGAGGAAGCGGCAGCTGCTGCTGCTGCCGGTTGGTCCGTTTGAAGAGCAGGGAGGCGTTACCGTGTAGAAAGGATGCAAGCTGCTTGGCGTCGTCGGGGATGCCTCGTGCTGTCATGATTAGTCGATCTAAGTCATCCCCTCCCGGTGGCGGTGCCGTGAGCGCCGAATGCGACCAGGAAACAGCATCTAAGCTCTGACTGTGTCGAATCAAGCTCTGGAACACCTCCTCCATCTTCCCCACCTGACGGCCCAGTTTGGTTTGCAGAGAGCGGTCCGTGGCCTGGGCAGCGTTCGCCACAGCGCCCCGGGCAAATTCTAGGAAGTCTCGGACAGTGGCGCGCACCCGGTCAGCAGCTTGATGTATTGCCGCGAGGTTCCCTTCCAGGTGGGCGGGGCTTCTCCAGTTGCCTGTGATGAAGGACATCATGAGGGAAACGCTGGACTCAACCGCTTGCTGCAAGCGAGACAGACGCTCCATGGCCTGCTCCAGGTCCAAGATGAGGGGCTTCCCTGGAATGGAGCCAGAAGCCGGAAGTGAGGAGGAAGAGGGGGTGTCGCGGACAGGGACCATGTCTAAGGATGAAGCGGAGTGGTTGCTTCGTGTGCTTCCTGTGCTCGAGGCAGACAGCCGCTTAAAGGACATGGTCAGCTCCTCACTGGTGGACTGGGCATCGCGCACGACCTGGAACACACATATGATCATTAAAAGAGACTGTCTGTCTGAATGAAGGCAGGATGCACTTGATACACAGATACAAGATATACTTGTTTCTGAGGTCCGAACAAACACAATATACGAGGCAGCCATCATGCGAACGCGTAGTTAAAAGCAAGTATATGTCTGGCCTTGGTAGCACTTTCAACATGTCTCTTCCTTCCTCGTCCTTCCTGTGCTAAACTAGCAGTGTTCATTTCATCAATAAAATCTATGATATAAAGTATTTGTTAATGACCTTAGATGAAAACAAGACAAAACCTAAATAAAAAGCAACTTTGGAAATGAGTTAAATTTTTGTCAAGAATCAACAACTTAATGAAAGGGACAAGATTGAAGAGATAAATGAACGATACTGTACTATTTTTAAAGCAAAGTCTGCACACCAGACACTTCACAACATAAAAAAGGTAAGCAAACATTATTGTTACATTATCATATCAACAGTAAAGCCCTTGTTCTTGTCTCAAATTAAACCCAGACAGTAGAGAACGGATAGCTGCAGTAAAGACAGTGAGTCGGTCTGTAATTACAACTAGACTAAAAGTAGACCTGTCTTTACACTGGATGCACAGAGATGAAACATAACATCTGAATATTCCCTAGAATGTGGACTTCCCCTTTAACTGTCCTACCTGTGGTGGGACATCGTAGACATAGTGGTCTCTCCTTTCTCCTCCTTTCTCTTCCCGTTCCCGAGGGAAGTCATAGACATCCTGGGCGGGGTGACCTCCGGTCCGCAGGCTCGCCGGGATGTCATAGATCTCCTGGGGGTCCTGACTGACCCCGGCCCTGTCTCCGTGATAATGCTTGTCGGTCAGGATAGGGGGTGGGACGTCATACACGTCCTCCGGAATGGGCGGCTCGTCATCATCGTTGAGATTGTTGTGCAGGTACTGGGCAGGAGGGACAGGGACTTGTGGCTTGAGTTTGGCAAAGTGGGGCGGTACATCATAGGTCTCCTCTCTGATTGGCTGAGCATCAGGGACGTCTTTACTGACAGACGGAGGGAAGTCATAGACCTGAAGAGAGAGAAATATCCTCTATGACAAAGTGTTTTATTTTATTGTTTGTACTGTATGCTGTGTGTTTACAGCATAGTTACAGTTACAAATCCACAGTTTTAGTTTCCAAGTCTTCCCTGACATAGCAATGTAACGTGTGAATTTCCCTAGTGTGGGATCAATTAAGTCTATATTATCTTATCTTATCTGACAGATCAACACACCTATAATTTCTGAAACAATTTCAGCTTATTGTTTACTGATAGCTATCTCTTTGCTGTTATTTAAACCTGATCGGTCGTAATCACACTATTAAACTGGCTTTATTCTGTCATTTCTGTTCATATAATCATATTCAATTACATTTATTTTGTATAGCGCCAATTCATAACAAAATGTCCTTTTAAGAGGCAGAAACCTTGAGCAGACCCCGGCTCTAGGTGGGCGGCTGTCTGGTGATATGAGGTGCACACATGATTTGATTATCTAATATTTTGGTTAATGACCAAAATCCACTGAGGCTGATGTGAATACCATTAGGTCATCTTTGTGATGATATTTTGGTGCAGTGTTTTGCTGTTAATGTAACATTTTGCTATACATGCGTGAAACAACCTGATAAATGCCCTGTGCCTTACTGCATTTGTTAAATAAGAGCACACATTTTTTCATATTTGATTCAATGATGTGATGTGATATGGGATTTTCAGGTTTTTTTTCTGATATTAGGAAATTTCTCTTTTTTTGTAGTTGTCTACAATGGAAATAAGTCTTTATAGTTCTGTCCCTGAAAGTCCGATATGTTGCATTTTACAGCTATATGTTCAAAAGAATGTTCACAATAAACCAAACCAACTAAAGATTACCAACACAATCTTCAGATTGCCAGTATCTAGCAGTTATCTATTTCAACAAGATTGTTGAAATAGATAAAAGCACTGGAACTCCCAAATCCAAAGCCTTACCGTCTGCTGTGTATTCTTGTCTGCACTTGCTGGGGTGTCATATATATCTTGACCACTGGAGGGGCCCTTCACCACCATGGGAGGGGTGTCATACACCTGAACACAGAGCAATAGACAGAGATAAATAACATGTTATTAACACACATCACATTGGACAGACACACACACACACACACACACACACACACAAACAAACATCTGTCCGTGCAATGAAGTGCCATACACACAACATATAGGCCCATATCTTATACTAGACTCAGATTTAATTAGTAGTTGTTATGAAGTCCACCTGTCTGTGAAGGATAAAGGGCTCTGTAGGGTTCAGAAAGTTACATAAAGATCCTCTCCAGTCATGTATTAGGACACAAATACAAATAGTCTGCTAGGAACAAAAATGTGTCTGATATGTTTTTATGCAAAAAGTATAATTTCCATGTGAAATACTTAAAAAGTAATCTTCTACGTCATTAAGAATTTCAGAATCTGTGAATATGCAAAAGTTGTTCATTTCTAAAGTTTTCCTGCTGGACACAAGATGTCCATTCTCAGTGGATATACACTGGTAGGCTGCTTAAAGAAGTTGTACCCTTAATTGGCACTGTTTACTAGATATGATTAATCTTTCCTTATTGTCAGGATATGTACCACAGTCCTTTAAAGTAGCTGTAATTAAACCCCTTCTTAAAAAGCCCACTCTTGACCCAGGGGTTTTAGGCAACTATAGACCGATTTCTAACCTCCCCTTACTCTCTAAGATTCTGGAGAAAGTAGTCACCAAATAGTTGTGTGACTTTCTACATAGCAACAGCTTATTTGAGGATTTTCAGTCAGGATTTAGAGTTCATCACAGCACAAAGACAGCTCTGGTTAAAGTTAATAATGACCTTTGATTGCTTCTGACAATGGACTTGTCTCTGTACTTGTATTATATTAGATTAGCTGCATTTGACACCATTGACCATGATATTATTTTAAAAAGACTTGAGCATCAAATTGGCATTAAAGGAACCGCACTAAGCTGGTTTAGGTCATACTTATCAGATCGTTCTCAGTTTGTACACGTTAACGAATCTTCCATAAATACTACAGTTATTCATGGAGTTCCACAAGGTTCTGTACTTGGACCAATACTGTTTACTTTATATATGCTTCCTTTAGGCAACATTATTAGGAATCACTCCATTAACTTTCATTGCTATGCAGATGATACACAGTTATATCTATCGATCAAGCCCGATGAAATTACTCAATTATCTAAATAACAAACATGTCTTAAGGACATAAAATCCTGGATGAGATCATGTGGAGAGGGTATAGGAACCACAAGTAGCCCAGCATTCAGAGAATGCAGTGTTCTAGAGGGGTTATAGGGTACTATGAACTCTTTAAGATATGAAGGGGCCTGACCATGAAGAGCTTTATAGGTGAGGAGGAGGATTTTAAATTCTATTCTACATTTTACAGGGAGCCAGTGCAGAGAAGCTAGTACAGGAGAGATGTGATCTCTTTTCCTAGTTCCTGTCAGTACTCGTGCTGCAGCGTTCTGAATTAATTGGAGCGTTTTAATGGACTTATTGGGGCAACCTGATAACAAAGAGTTGCAGTAATCCAGCCTTGAAGTAACAAATGCATGGATTAGTTTTTCTGCATACGTCTGTGACAGGATGTGTCTAATTTTTGTAATATTACGTAAATTTTCATCATCATCAGTCACTACTATTAGTGTAGTTGTTGCTACTGTTGCTACAGAAAAGGCAGAGGTGGAGAAATGGAAGTGAAGAGCCATCCCAGTAATCAGAACCAGTGTGGTCTTGGTCACATGACCATCTAACACTGTCCCTCAATCATTCATGTCCTTCAGCCAAGTCCTCTTTTTGTCCCACACATACTGTAAGACTACCTGCTCCTGTCGCATTATTATGGATTCCACTGCTTCTCAAATCTCAAACCAGCCTGCAGTCGCTAGGATTGGCCAGGGGCCCATGCTTACACAAGTTTCTGCCAGAAAGCTTTTCTAACAAGTAGTTAATGTTGTAAAAGCGTCTATTTTAATCCAAAGCATGATATTTTCCTAAACCTAACCAAGTAGTTTTGTTGGATAAACCTAACCAAAGTGCGACTGAAAACTAAAGATAATAATAAATAACATGAATTATAAGGCAACAAAGTATAAAAAGTCTGACTGGGAAAATCCCAGTCTTAATCAGATACAAGTCCTGTGCTTAGCCCACTCATCCACCACTACTTTCCTCATATAGTTGGCTATTTATAATACAAGCAACGAAGTGTTGGAATCGGACCCAGGCAATATTATCAACAACAATAAAAATAACAATACATTAATTATATCTCATCTTAGCACATATACATACACTGTATATAGTATAGTATATATATTATACCTAATTGTGGTCATGCCAGGAAAAATAATTTGAATATGAAAGAAAGGTTGAGTTCAACCAATACATTGATTTATTTAACAGTTTTCTCAATTTTAATATACTATATATTCAATTCAATTAAATTCAGTTCAGTGTAATTAATATATATATTAATATTACAGTATGATACAAAAGAAATACTGTGATATAAGATTTGTATCCATGCACAGTGTTGAACTACAGCAAAGCTACCCTAGGGAGAAATCGAGTTTAGTTAACTAAAGCTACTGTAGTTATAAGTACTTGACGTGATCAAATTGACAATGTACATGTGATAGAAAATTATAACAAAATATAACACAAAAAGTCACATCAGCAAAAAATGCCCACTTATTCTCAGGTCATACATAAACAAAGCACACAAGTAGATATGTAGGTTTTGTAGGTGGAGCTAGTCAGTCATGTATTTATGTATTAGTCTAAAGGTCCAGTATGTAACATTGAGGAGGATCTATTATTCAGAAATGGAATATAATATTCAAAGCTATGTTTTCATTACTGTATCATCACCTGGATATAAGAATCGTTGTGTTTTTGTTAGCTTAGAATGAGCTGTTTGTATCTACAGAGGGAGTGGGTCGCCTTCCACGGAGGCCACCATGTTGAATGTTCTACAGTAGCTCAGAAGGGACAAACCAAAACGCTGGCTCTAAATAGGGGCATTCGTGCTTTTTACAGCCACTGTTGTTTCACCTTTTTGTTTTTGGAAGGGGAGGAAGCAATGGAGTTGTGATCTGCAACTTCACCGCTAGATGCCACTTTATTTTTTTTTAAGTATGGCCATGGCGAGTCTTCCTCAGGCTGAGATTCCAAAGCTTTTATCCACATGAGCACTGAACGCCCGCCCTTTTGCACAGAGGTCAGTTGTGTGGTATTGGCTGCCTGACAGATGCATCGTCTGAGCATGCTCACAGCGGTCAGGACCAAAGAAAAATGGGGCAGGGTTGGTCAAGGGGGTTCAATTACAGTAGAGAACGGAAGTTCCAGAGCTGCCAACTCTCACGCTTTCACCGTTTGACTCACGCATTTGCCTGTTTTCACACGCACTCACGCCACACATCCAATTTCTCACACTAAAAAAATCCGATGTTGGGCCGTTTCGGTCCCCTGCAGTTTGTACCGTCCAAAAACAATGTTACGCTATAGTAAACAGAGACTCGTCAAGCACTAGGACCAAGAGGAAAACGGCCGCTCCAGCTGAAGCCTGTTACCCTTAGTTTAGACCCGCCCACAAGCTCCTCGATTGGCTCTGCCGTTTCTTGTGTGATTGGCCGTTCCCGCTGTCACTCCATCTTGCTTGCACACCGGTCTGCTGGAGTTGCCCAGGTAACATCAGAGGTTTCATTTACATTAACGTTTGAATCGGTGTCCATGTGTGTATGTGCGTGCGTGTGTCCAGAATGTTTTTTCTATATTTACATTTACATGCTTTACAACCAGTCAAACCAAAAAGGGAACAGTAAACGTAACAGTAACAACAGAAAACTAGAAGAACTACTATTGTGTGACAGGGCGCCCGCCGGTTAGCTCAGTCGGTAGAGCTGGCGACCCATATACGGTAGTCGCTGCAGCGGCTCGAGCTCAAATCCGACCTGCTGCCCTTTGCTGCGTGGCTTCCCCTCCCTCTCCACCCACCATCACTGTCTCCCCACAGCTGTCTCTATAAATAAAGCCATCAAAAGGCCAAAAAAATAAGTTAAAAAAAAAAAAAATACTTGTGTCCCCCCCACCTCTGAAATCAAAATGTTGTCCTTGATCTGAGCTGGGACTAGGTATGTAACAATGAAATGTCGTCCAATTGAGTACTCACTCACTTAAACTTTAAATCTTGATATAAGTTATTTGTTTGTGTTTGTGCGTGTGAACATGATTTAGTGTGGTGAAAGCTGTCATAACAAGCAGCAGGAGAGCACCTTGTTAACCTGGTGGTATACTGCATGCTCAAAATATCAGCTCATTGCATTGTTTATTTACGCACAGTTTAACACCATTCTAATCAAAATATCAATCAACCTACAGGTACCTAGGTCCAATCTTAAACACTGGTCTATGAATAAGGCTTTATTGTGATACAGGCAGTCATTTAGGCACAACAATAGTTTTCTGGTTGAATGTTCAGCTCAAGTCTAGAAAGCCCTACGAGTCATGATGCCGAACATGAATCAGAATAAGTTCAGGTAGTGCATATCTTTAGCAGACCACCCAAAAATCCACTAGAATGCAGGAAATCACATCTACTTAATTTCCTGGGGGTGGACCTTCAGCTATGTCTGCTTCTCAGAATGTAACCAATATTGTCCATCTCCAGTAGGCTGCCCCTATCAGCGGCTTTGGGTCTCCCCACAAACCACCAGAATGCAGGGTACAACATGGGTACAACATCAAATGAATTCCAATTCTTTTTTTTTTTTTTCCCCCCCACAAAATTCTCCCAAGGTTTTAATTACATGGCAACTACCTTGATTACAATATTATAGTGGCAAGCTGGCAAGAAGGTAAACACAGTAATACACCGTTTTTAGGGGGAGGTGTATGACAGAGAACAGCTTGTACACCATTACACCTGCACAGTTGGACAGATAGAGGATTACTGTAAACTCATCATTCAGTGCTGATGTTCCAGTGCAAACATTTCTGCACAGACGTACAGTGAGTGTGATACACTGCGTTATGAAACAGCTCTGTACCCTACAGCTGTACTCTGAGTGTGTGTGTGAGTGTGTGAGTACTTGTAACGGTCAGAGCCATCTACCATGAGCCGTCTCCCACACAGCAGACATTTTGATGAAGTGCCTTGTGTCGCGGCACCTTCATTCTTCACTTTTTTGATTGCCCACTTCAAAAAAAAAAAGCCCAGCAGCTACACCTGTTATTGCAGCAACACATCTTCTTCCTGCTCTTCCTCATCTTCCCAGCCTTCATTTTTCTCATCATTTATTGTCATCTTGTTTTTCTTCATACTCCATCCTCTCTGTGCTCCTCCCCTCCTCCCTCCTACAGCTCATTTTCTCCTCCTCTTCCTCCTCCTGGGACTCCAGCTCTCATTTTGCTGTGGTTGTACGTGAGTGACCTTTCTCTTTTAGCTCGTCAGCATCAAGATTCTATTCTTTGTACATTTTGTGTGTGTGTGTAGGTGTGCACATGGTGCCTGCTTATTAAGCAGAAAACATTGTGAACAGTATGTGTGGAATTACTCAGGAACAAACTGACCTGTGTGTATGTGGCATTCAATGGAAAGGCACACACACATGCTTACAGTACACAAACACATCAATTCTCTGCAGCGGAAAAATACAGCTGAGTCTTCTTGTTGCCACGGGATAGTCCAAGTGTCTCGTATATCACACACACACACACACACACACACACACACACCCTACACACACAGTTGCACATCACGCCAGCCTGTTGGGTATGAATGACTGTCACTAAAGATAGATCTAATATTTAGAGAGGGAGAGGTTGATTGTTACATCACATCAAATATTAATATTCAGCAGACAGAGAGGCTACTTGGTGCCAGACAGTACCTGTGTGTGTGTGTGTGTGTGTGTGTGTGTGTGTGTGTGTGTGTGTGTGTGTGTGTGTGTGGTGTGTGTGTTGTACAAGACATGTTGATGGACAAGATTACAATCCTCTGAAGTGTACATAACCTCTCTCATACAATCACTAACACATTTACAGCTTTACAACACAGGGCTACTGTCACAACATCCACATACACACTGCAGCAGCTGCATTACTGCTAAGAATAGCCACAACACTACAGGAAAAATCCGCTCCAGACATGGATTAAAGCTGCAGTAGGTAACTTTTTTATAAAAATATATTTTTGTCATATTTGCTGAAACTTTCACTATATCTTTGAATATGCAAATTATGTTCATCAAGTTTTCCTGCTGGACACAAGATGTCTCCTACTTCACTTGACTTCCAAATTTTTTGTGATGTCACAAATCAGGCTGGTAATAATGCTCCTTAAAATTAGCTTTTCAATGAGCACAGAGAAACATTCCACTTTTAGCAGAAGAATGTGAAAACTCTGCACAGACAGCATTCAAACATCACACTGCATGAACAAGAAGAAACACTGATTTCTGACTGGAGGGAGGCTTTAAGAATTTAGATAATCATGTGGGTTTTTTTAAATACAGAAACACTGTGAAAACTGAACCAAAGTAATCATGAAATACTGTGAAAGCAACATTAATCCATTTTTTGTGCACCAAACTGTCTTTATGTGGCACTGATAGATTATACAACAGATATGTGATTAATCACACTGAATCCTATCCATCCTGTCAGATGGATACACACCCAGTCCAGAAGAATCACACACTCTGTCTCTCTCTCACACACACAGAGCAATCTGACCTGTGTGTTGTACTGCTGGCGAGTGGGCGGCACGTCATATATGTCCTGCTGGGTCGGAGGCTGATGTCTGGGTGGGACGTCGTACTCATCCTGCTCTAGTTTCACTGTGTCGTACACATACACCTGTCCAATCCGAGTAGGAACTACCACCTGGACATAGACACACAGAGAGAGGAGAGGCAGGTGAGAGTCAATCAGTCAGCCTGAAGGTATGAGGGTGTATATCAACCCTACCAAGGGTTGTTACAAAGAGAAAAAACACTGACATTTATGAACAGAAAACACAAGATTAAACTCCTAATCTTTCTCTGAAAAAAGGCGTTAAACCTGTGTTAATGTGACTATTGCAACCTGCAAAGGTCACAATGCACCACCCAGTCACAACAGCCTAAAACTAAAAGGCTTCTTCACTTTGAATGAGAATTTATTGCTTCTTCACACTAAATGAACAGAGACTTAAGTTTGTTCAGTCTCATTAAAACAAAAAAAGCTTGACACACACAGGCAGTAAAAACAAAGCAGGGGTCCTGTCATAGTTGTCGTGGGAACCAGGCTGCCCTATTGTGTGCCTCTTTAAACTGAGTATTATCTGGTTTGAGTGTAGAGTCAACCAGCCAGCCTGGGAAAACACAACAGCTGTGGTATACAACACATACAACAGACTTAGCTACTTCAGCTAGCTCACTCCTTTCATCATCCTCTCTTCTTACCTTTCCCTGTCATTTCCATAACATTGCCATGTCCTGGAATGTAAGGCTGCTCAATTATTCGAAATTTTGTCATGATTACGATTTTGGGGCCAAACGATCTCAAAACTAATAAAATCGAGGGGAAACGATTTTTTTTTTCTGTTGTGAAACGAAAAAAGCTGTGTCCCAATTCAGGGGCTGCGTATTTCGCGCATGCATATTTCCGTCCCTCCCCCACAGCATGCACTGCACATGCGTCATGTGCTCGGTATACTCGCCGTTCCCGACCTGTCGCGCGACAATGTGAAGTCACGGGAGCGCCTTAACTATTTATACTTGCGCCGGTGGTCGCGACACTAGTTGCAGTCTTTTCCTGTCACGTTGTTTTCGTTTGAACAGGTAACGCAGAGACTTACAAATGTTTATGGGGAAAGGAAAGTGTAACTGAGGACTTCCTGGCAAAGTGTTTTTGACAAATGTCCACTAAATGCAGCATGTTTCTGAAGTTTAAAAAAATAATCGTTTGAATAATCGTGATTTCAATTTTGACCCAAATAATCGTGATTATGATTTTTTCCATAATCGAGCAGCCCTACTGGAATGTGGAGAGGGTGTCTGCCTCCCGAACCACAACTGGAAGCTGGTTCCACAGGAGAGGAGCTTGGTAACTGAAGGCTCTGGCTCCTGTTCTACTTTTAGAGACTATAGGAACCACAAGTAGCCCAGCATTCAGAGAACGTAGTGTTCTAGAGGGGTAATAGGGTACTATGAGCTCTTTAAGATATGAAGGGGCCTGACCATGAAGAGCTTTATAGGTGAGGAGGAGGATTTTAAATTCTATTCTACATTTTACAGGGAGCCAGTGCAGAGAAGCTAGTACAGGAGAGATGTGATCTCTTTTTCTAGTTCCTGTCAGTACTCGTGCTGCAGCGTTCTGAATTAATTGGAGCGTTTTAATGGACTTATTGGGGCAACCTGATAATAAAGAGTTGCAGTAATCCAGCCTAGAAGTAACAAATGCATGGATTAGTTTTTCTGCATCTGTCTGTGATAGGATGTGTCTAATTTTTGTAATATTACGTAAATGAAAGAAGGCAGTCCTAGAGGTCTGCTTCATGTGGGAATTAGATGACAAATCGTGATCAAAAATAACTCCAAGATTCCTGACAGTGGTGCTAGAGGCCAAGGTAATGCCATCTAGAGTAACTATATCTTTAGACACTGAGTCTCTAAGGTTTTTGGGGCCAAGAACAAGAATTTTGCTTTTTTCTGAGTTTAACATCAGAAAATTGCAGCTCATCCAGGATTTTATGTCCTTAAGACATGTTTGTAATTTAGATAATTGATTAATTTCATTGGGCTTGATCGATAGATATAACAGTGCATCATCTGCATAACAATGAAAGTTAATGGAGTGATTCCTAATAATGTTATCATCATCATCATCATCATCATCAGTCATTTCTATTAGTATAGTTGTTGTGCACCTTCCTCTGTCTCTGTCCTTCTCTATTATAGCATATCTAAGTACAGGAAAGGAGGAAGTTGACCAAGGTTCTGACGGAGGCTTGCTCAACTATTATTGGAACACAGAGCAAAAAGGGAGTGGGACTTAGGTTAATGGTCAATTCTGTGGTATGTGGCATTGGTTCATGCAATGTAGTCCAACAAAAACCAAGCTAGGGCACAAAAAACCTTCCGTAAATTTCATTATATGAGCTACATAAATGTAAATATATAACTAAATTAATTGAATAATAGTGTTTTATAATGTATGCTATAATATACTGTGTATCTGTAGACATAATTGTTTAATTCCAAATACTGATCATCAGTATCAGACCTAACATTCTGTGTCAGTCTGTCTGTTTGCAAGTCAAATCATTGTTTAATCACAGCTCCAGCCCTGATTAATGGAAGCTCTCTGATAATATTTGCTCAGCTCCCCAGCTGTCAGAGGTACGCTGTGTGTGAGACAGACAGAGACAAATGATAAAACCATCCATTTGACAACCTGTCTGTACTAATCTGCCTCTGCCTCCCCACTCTCCCTCTGCCTTCAGCTAAAACGCCTCAAAACACATTCTCTCTATTCCTTCCCAGGGGGGGAATTACAACAATTATTTTATTCTAGAAGACTAATTTCACCATTACCAAAAGAACCCACTCCTGAAAAGCTGAGAAACATTCCTTATTTAACATTTCTGTCTGGGTTTTCTCTCTAATTCTCAGTCTGTGGGTCACACACGTACACACTCATGTAAACAGCCCCTCATTGTCAAAAAGCTTTCAACAGTATTGACGACACTCGGCTAAGTGCCAGATGCGTCCTGCAGAGAGAGAGAGACACACACACACACACACACACACACACACACACACACACACACACACACACACACACACAAAGCATCCACAGCGCTGTGTCAGATTAATAACCCATGTTATTGATTACCTGTCTGTGTCCACCCTAGAGAATAGACACAAACTTGCACACTAACACTGAGTGATCTGTTTGTGTGTGTGTGTGTGTGTGTGTGTGTGTGTGTGTGTGTGTATGTGTGTGTATAAGGTCTAGTAATAGTAATAGCCTCCTGAGCCTTTTAATCCCTTTGGGAGATCAGAACTATGGGTCAACTACTGGGTTCTACTCTTTTTATGACTACGTGTGTGTGTGTGTGTGTGTGTGTGTGTGTGTGTGTGTGTGTGTGTGTGTGTGTGTGTGTGTGTGTGTGTGAGTGAGTGAGTGTGTTAACTGTTAACTAATAACCTAATTTAATATAATCACAGCATGACTGCTTCATGTCTCCATTGTGATTTGTTTCTCTTTAACTGCCAACAGCACTTACATTCCATATCTCCCCTCCATTCCATCATCAGAACAGCCAAAAAAAAAGGATCACAGTCAGTGGATCCACATCTGGCTTCCAATGACTTCAGCCTTGGTCAACTTCAGCATGTGAATTTGTGGTTATTTTTACTAGTGGTTGACCGATATGTATTTTTCAATGGCAGATGCCGATATTTAGAGAGCAGGGTGACTGATGGCCGATATATAATGTCGTCATGGATAATTCCATTATTCCATGCGCATTGTAATCTAAAATACAATTGGCTAGTAATATGTTGTTTTAGATGGGATTTGGAGATGATTTTATAACTTTATTTTAGTTTTTGTGAATAATATATAAATATATATGATAATATCTCTGCTTAGCTATCACAAAATGTCACGGCAGCTGTTTCCTCATAAAGCCCAACAATTGTGATGTGGTTGATAAATGTTGATAAAAGTGAGCACACAGATGGTGTTCAAATTTTCTCTCCATGCCTTGATTAATGTATAATCTGTAAGTTCTGTATATTAAATGTTATTATGATCAAGTTTTTTTAAAATATAATGTTTATAAGTAGTCTATATGTCTCATTACCATTATAAAATGAAAATGATGAGTAATAATAGATCAAGAATTTTTAATGTCAAAATGAAAAGGTCTACCTCTGGTTGGACTGCCTCTTAAATACCTTCACTGTAAAACCAGATAAGTTAATTTAATTCAGAAAATTGCTTTTACTTGTAATTTTAAGTAACACTAACTTAGTTTTGTAAGTTAAAGAAACATTCCTCATTAGTAACTTTTTACTAGGTATTTAGTTTACATGTCGAGTACCAAAAAAATGACTAAAACTACTTTATCAAGAAAGTTTTTCTTTTACTTACAAAATTTAGTTAGTTTCAGTTTGTAACATTTTTTTGAGTTAAATTAACTGGTTTTACAGTGTTGAATTGACTGTCTTGATACTCTGACAGGCTCAACACACACACCCGCTCTCCCATCACTCACCAGGAATGAATGGCAGCGAGCATGCAGCTGTATCAGGTCCCTGCACAGCCCTGTTCCTTATGTCTCATCACAGAACTCTGGCCCGAGGATGGCTGTATACTTTCAGATTTACTGACCTACATATCCACCAAAGAAAAACCTCTGTGTGTCATGTTCTCAAAATAAATCAGTGGCCTCATAAAAGCTGCAGCTACTCCGACCTACCGACAATAAAAATGCCTTTGACACACATTTATTTATGAGGGTTCAATGAGGGAGAATTCCTCTACATGCAAATGTGCACACACACACTGACGGAGGGCCATGTGTGGCACAAGCTGTGATGTTCACTCTTTGTTCCTTGTGTACAATTACGTCAAGTCATTGTTCAACAGATGACCTTTGCTCCTAGCAATGTCCCTCCCTCCTTCCCAGCAGCAACGCCACTACCGCCCCATCTTCCACTCCTTTTCTTTCTTTCTTGTTTCCTGCTTTATGACAAAAGGACACAGAAACCAGGTGTGAGCTTGGTCTAGAACTCTGATTCTCTGATTCCGGGCCCAAAAACTGCTGCCGTAGGTCGGGCTTGGGTCAGATTTTTTGAGCCTAATCAAAGCTCTACTTTGGTCTAGAAAGA